CGGACCATGGCGGGCGCAGGCCGAGTGGGCTGGGGGTTGCCACGGGCCGCACGGGGGGCTGCGGGCTCCACCGACTGAGGGGCGCGGGCGCGCGGCTTCGGGGGAGACGGGCTGGGCTGTACCACGCGCGAGGGACGCGCCGCCGGAGAGGGGTCGCCGCGGCCAAACCACTGCGGTGAGCGGGGGAGCGCGGCGCGTACCAAGAGCGTCCGCGAGGGGGCGTGGCCGGGCTGTACCAAAATAGGGCCGGGGAGCCTCAGGAAACGGAGAGGGTGTGTGGGGCGGGGAACACGGCCATTGGGAGATACTCTGGGCGGCTCGAGCTACAGGGGGAGGAACTGAGAGGACGTGCGAGCAACAGCTTCAGGGGGGTGTGGCGGGAGCGGCCACACCGAAGAGTGCGGGGGGGATTGATGAACGTAGAAGGCGATACCAAGTTGGCTACGGACTGGGGGACAGGATACCAAGAGACCCTACCCTGAGTCCCGGACCCGCGGAGCCGGGAGACTACACCAACACACCTCAGGAAGAGGAGGAATAAAGAATAGTGGAGGAGCGCCTGGGTGGCTCAGTCGGTTAAGCCGCTGCCTTCGACTCAGGTCATGATCCCGGGGTCCTGGGATCGAGCCCCGCATCGGGCTCCCCGCTCGGCGGGAGGCCTGCTTCTCCCTCTCTCTCTGCCTGCCTCTCTGCCTACTTGTTCTCTCTCTCTGCGAAATAAATGAATAAAATCTTTAAAAAAAAAAAAAAAAGAATAGTGGGCCTGGGGGTAAAGGAACCTACCTAGAAGTTTGGGGATACAGATCATACCTTGCACCAGGGGAGGACTTAATGTTTGAAGGCAGTGACGTGGCTAGGTGGGCGGGAGACTACAAGTCCCAGCGGCCCCCGCGCGGCCTGGGCGGGGCCAGGGTTCCCAAGAGAGGCCGCGAGTCACTGCTGCGCGCCCATTGGCCCCCGCACCCTAGGCTCCGCCCACCGCCCTAGGTACCTCCTCCGGCTAAGCCGCCCGCCACTCAGGGCCGTTCATTGATTCACTCATTCACTCACCTATTGCATGGCTGCGTATTCAATTACTAGAAGTTGTGTAACATTTCTTGCTTAAATTTGCCTGTTTCTGAATCGTGGATAACGGGTACCCGTAAAGAGGTTATAAGGATTAAATGAGTTAAAGTAGTAGGATCGGTACTCAGCATGGTAACGACTTAAATGTTAACTTTTCTTTTTCTTAAAAAAAAAAAAGTCATTGTGATGAACACCAGGTGATTAAAATAAAACCTTCTTAAAAATCATTATGAGTACTACTATTTCCAGTATGCGCGGGCAGTGAGTATACTGTGATGACCAAAACAGACTGGGTCCCTCACAGAGACCAAGATCCACTGGAGATGACAATCAATTTGGGATAAGTGTTACAAATAGTGCAAATGCACAGGACAAGGGCATGGTGACCATGAGGAGTCAAGGAAGTGACCTTTAGTTGGGTCATTCTATTTGGGCTGGAAGAGTCCTAAGATGAGGGAACAGCAAGGGCACAAATCCTGAGAGTGGAAGGAGAGTAAGGGAAGTGCGCGTAGCTGGAGCGGATTGAGGGTGGAGGAGAGCAGTGGAAATGGGGAGATGCTGGGGTCCACAAGCAGAGTCCTGTGGCCTTGGGATGGAATTTGAATTTTAATCTCACTTTGCTGGGGAACCACTGGAAGGTTTTCAACAAGGGGGTGACACAGACTCACTTACTTTTGAACAGATCGTTCATAGAATGCATAGAAACGTGCACACAGTATCTCTATAAGTCTATTGGAACAGGTGGGACCCACAGTCACCTCTGAGGAGAGAAGGCAGCAGACTGAGGGAATGGGGCCACTGGGGTAGAAGGGAGAGTCAGTTTACTCTCTTGGACTATTTGGAATTCTCACCATATGCAAATGTTGCCTACTGAAAAATGACCTTTGAAATATTTAAATCTTTTTTGAAGGATTCCCCTGCCTGCCGTGTTGAAAATAAGATGGAAGGGGAGCAATGAAAGCAGAAGGGCAGAGAGAAGACTGTGCTAATAATCCAGACAGGAGGCACAGATGGGATGGACGCAGGCAGGGCGGCCACAGTGGAGGTAGTCGTTTACACAATTCATTTCAAGCTGGAGCCCAAAGGACTTGTGTAGAGAGTGAGAGAAAGAGGAGGGAAGGATGAGGCCAAGGTGTCTGCCTGTACAGGGATGCTGCTTAGTGAAAGGGAGCCAACTCTGGGGGCAGGCGGAAATCCCTGCTTCCGTTTGTGATGTGTTAATTTTGAGATGTCGACTAAGCAATGTGGATAGGGGAGTCTGGAGATAGAACTTCAGGAGTCTCCCGTGCTCGAATCAATGAGACACTGAGATCACAAAGAGCATGTGTGTAGATAGGGTCCAGGACACTCCATCCCTTTAGAGGTGAGAGTCCTGAGGAGCAACCAGCTAATGAGACAGAGGGGTGGCCCGTGAAACAGGAGAAGCCCTGAGCCAGGATGCCCCCACCCACGAAGCCACCTGCGCAGCCCTGAGTTCCAAATCTGACTTGGATTGTGACCAAATGGAGTCTGTGCTCTCTGGACCCAGACCATAAGTTAGATATCAACAGTTACCTCCAGACCCCTGACAACCACCCACGTCAGGACAACCGACCACTGGCAGCAGGAAGGAGACAGAACCACAGGGACAGAAGCCTCTTTAATCTCCCTAAATCCTCATTTCTCACCATTCTCCTTGGTCTAAGACTTCACAATCTCTTGCATAGATAACACCCTCCTAACTCTTGCCGCCATGTCTCTCCCTTTGCTAATCAAAACACTCTAGTGGCTTCCCAGTCCCCCTAGAATTCAACACAAATTTCCTCTAATGCCCGCATGGTGGACCCCTGCTGTTCTATCCAGACTGATCTCTTCCACATCCTTCCTGCTCTCCATCATCCTTTGGCTCCCATCAGGACACATATGTGGGCACGAATTCCCAGGATTGTATAAGCAGAGAGAAAGCTGTGCGAGGATACACTCCGACGGGAGCAAAATGAAAACATCCCAGGATGTGAAATAAAAACGTAGGCCGAAATTCTAAGTCGTATTACAGTACA